AGACCGGCTCATTCATCCCAGGTTTGCTATTTACCATGATACAGAAGAGCGTTTTGTGGTCTCGGACACCGGTAACGATGTGATAAAAGTTTTTGATCAAAATGGGGATCTGATACGGATAATAGGCCGACCTGGTCACAAGAAAGGCGAATTTTGTGGCCCACGGGGCCTAGCTATCGATAAAAACCAAAATATTATTGTATGCGATTTTGAAAATCACCGTCTTCAAGTTGTTACTATAAGAGGAGTTGTTCTCAATAGTTTCGGTACCAATGGGAAAGGTATTGGGCAATTTGCATTCCCACTTAGTGTTTCCGTGGTCGGCGGGTCACGTGTCATTGTCAGCGATTGGGGTAACAATAGGATCCAGATCTTTAAGTATAGAGATTCTATAAACTAAATGATAATTGTTTAGCTTGTAATAAGGTTTGCTTTCAATATTGGGTAAGCTTATATCCACAGTGGAACCGACATAAGGAACTGGCAAACTTTATTCGCTACAACAAGGTTTCGTCATATGAAGGTTCTTTTCCATATTCGGTATTTTACTATAACTGGGGTAAAGAAATCATTAGCTTTGCTGAGGACTTCGTTGTATAGAGGTTCGTTGTATCGAGCCGGGCTCCGCAGCGCTGTATCCTGGGTTGGCCGGGGGGAGGGGATCGGAGTGCAAATGAAAGAGTCGGGGATGCTCGTCGGAAAGTTAGAATTAAACCCCTGAAGGAGACCAATCTGGGCGTGGCTCAGGCTTGACTTGACCCCTAAAGAAGACTATATGCAATACAGTCTGACAGCAGCTGTGTCTTTTTATGTAAAAAATATTACAAAATTTTCCGTCCTGTTAATCCACAGTCTGTCATTTTAACCTCTAAGCAAGCGACGAGCATCCCTTGACCCCGTCATTTTCATGTGGGAGTCCCTTCAGGTCTTTATTTTACCATGTACAGAAGGTCACGTTTTCTTTGACTTGGCTTTCATCCATGAAGTGAATGACCCGACAAACTGTTCTAGGACAAATATTACTGATTAATTTCCAAGTTAGAGCCATCTAAATTTCATGAAATTTTTTTAGCCTGTCATTAATTGACAAGTGCAAAGTTAAACTGACTAGAAGTTCTTTCCAAATAGACAGACCAGAATAATCGAACATGGCTACTAAAGTGCATGCCTTGAAACATTCAAAAGAGATTTGAACCTTCTCATGTTGACCCTCTCGTCTTATACTTGGGTGCAAATTAACATCCATTTCGCTTGTTAAACATCGTTTGCTCGCTGATCCGGTCTACGTGCGTATAGCAAAAAGACTCTTCGATTGGTGACGTCACCATGTAAATAAGCTGTTATTGTTAGAGATTGCCTCTGTAAGAAGATTTTAAAAATTTGAATATTAGCGGATTTATATTAAGTTACACGTAATTTTAACCATTATTTTAAGGGTGATTTATTTTGTCTCGTTATCATTTACAGCAACTTTGCCTTATACCTTAATTCCGCCACAGTTGTAAATATTATATTATTTAAAGAATTAATAGAGGATATTATATGACCGCGCGTAGATACGAAATTTCTCTTCGACTGTTAAAAAAAATATTTCACGAGTGAGCGCAGCGAACGAGTGAAATATATTTTTCAACACGAGAAGAGAAATTTCGTATCTCCAAGCGATCATGTAATATTCTATATATAAACACCAATGAAATGCCAAACCATTTTACTTAAAAAGTTTCTTGGTCTGAAAGGTGCGGTTTATTATGAAGCCATAGCAATGGTGATATTTTCACATGTGAGGATAACATGTTCTTTTCACATGTGAAGATATCAAGTTTTCGCGCGAAAGCTCACTTGGTATTTCATTGGTGTTTATATAATAATGACGATTATCACTTTAGTCTCAAGAATCAACATTCGCAAGAATGTCTGAGTTTCACAATTCTCCTTTTTGCACCCCTGGAGTAGCATAGCCTCAGTGGCGAAAGTCAATAGAGCAAGCGACCTCAAACCCTCTAAGGCTAGTCAGCGGCCTAGCCAAAATACTTCTTAAGAGTAAAAGTGAGCAAGATTTTACCAACTCTCTCACTTTTAAGCTTCTGTAAAATGTGCAATATTTTTGCGGAATCGCTCAAACGAGTGATGTTGCGCGTTATGCCACCCACCTTCAAACTCGTCTCGCCACAAATCAGGTTGCTGCAAGTTACCTGAATACTTACATTTGATTGGATAAAATTACGCGCGCGGTAGCCACTTCATACGCGGAAGTATACGTCACTTGCTGCAAAGCAAGTTTGCCATGGGCAGGTAAAACGCGCAACATGCAATCTTGCTCTTAACGTAAATAGATAAACTAGAAACTCGTCTCTGTTCTTCTCCGTAACTAGTATTCCCCCTTTTGGATAGTTGCCTGGATTTTAAAGTTTGTTAAATAAACTATCTTATCTCTATCTGATTCATTTAACATAAAAGTGGCATTGCTAGTAATAGCAATTTCAACAACATACATACATTTCTTAGAATTTTGACGTATTAGATAGGATCTTAAACAGGTTCTTAACTATTGAATCGAAGCTTCTAGAAAATTTGATATATTTCAATTTTCATCGTCAGTTTTCTTGTTTTATTTATTGGTACTCATTTGTTTGTTTTGTTTTGTTTTGTTTAGTTATTTTTTGTTGTTGTTGGCTTTCGCGCTTCCTTGTCAGCAAAGGTATTAGCCTGTGTACAGACCCCCCCGCTTCCTTTAAGGAAAAATCAGACAAGGGGCGTCTCCGATATTTCCTGAGGTGAGGACGGTCTGTCCAAAGGCTACCTTAGTGTCAATTCGAGGGCTCTTAAACGTTTCAATGGTCTTTGAATAAGTAGCGATTATTAGCGATTACTTTTAGTGTTATATTTTCATTTTTAATTAGCTAAAACACTGTGGATTTCCTATTTAATTAGGCGCAAAATGTTAAAATTATGAAACCTTAACTGGAGTCCCACGTAGGGTAGTCGCCCTTGAGGCCCCATTTTTGTCTCGTCGCGCAACGGGAGAAGCGTTGCGTGGCGAGACAGAAACGGCGGCAAGGGAAACTACACGTGTAGTAGCCTTCCACGCATACGTTATTAGGGCCTCCTCACGAGGTCGAAGGAACGCGCGTTGAAGCCATAAGATCGAACGTTCGAGTGCGGGGCTACGCGTACGGTAGCCTGTCATGGTACCAGTGTGGTGTTTACCGCAGGCAATATGATGTCCGATGTAAAAGGGCTGTTTGCTAACCCCGAGGTCACGGTACTCCCTTATACTTCCTATGGGGACTTGCCGCTGGTTCTACGATACTCTCCGCCTGTTCTGTATGGACGAAATAAAGATGAATTTTCGACTCCACTGCAAACGAAATTTGCTCAGTAAGCTAGACTTGATTAGGAATAATTGGGGGTGGGGGGTGCTCAGGAATCGACCCTGAGAGAATTAATTAGAACGGCAAATCCCTGTAAAATTGGCCCATATATGGGAGTATCCCCTCCGGGTTGCTACCTACGTGTTGATCAAAGTACACGTGTATTGACACTCCAGTGTAATAATAAAAAAGCATTAATCAAAGATTAAAATGGCCAATTTTTGTCTGCATTTCATAGCCTCGTTTGTATCCTGACTCTAGGCACTGACTTAAGAGAGAGATTTAGAGAATAGCCATCTTCCTTGACTGACAGAAACAGGTCAACTTGCCTGAAAAAAGTTACTTCGGTAGAATTACAAAGTCTATCAGCTCTTTCACAGAGACGATGGGTGGCATTTTATCGGAGACCCCATACCGTAAAATTCCAAAAATAAGCCCCGGGGCTTATATTTTTCGAAGGCCCTTTTTGAGGGGCTTATTTTTGGAGGGGCTTATCTACGGAGGGAAATTTGCGTTTCAAAATCGATTGGGCTAGCCTTCTATTTGGAAGTAAATTTGCCGTTTTTGCGTTGCTTTACTTTGTATTTGAGGGCAATTTTCCGAGTACAAGTCCCCGGGGCGCTTATTTTTGGAGGGGCGATTTAACGGAGGGTCTTTTTGCGTTACCGGTTTGGGGGGCTTATACATGGAGGGGCTTATTTGCGGAATTTGACGGTAATTTTAGCACAACCATCAAATACACCGGATGTTTAGCTCCGGGTTCAAATCGTAAATCTATCCGAGGTAGTGTATCGTCTGCCTGAGTCTGGTGTTGCAATTGGCTTGTTCTTTGAGGAGTTTTCTAGTTTGTTGGAAGAAGTTGTTGGTTGCTCAGAGGAGCTGCTCATCATGGGCGACTTTAACTTTCACATGGACGACAGATATGTTTAACCTGAAACAACATGTGGCTGTTCCCACCCGTAGTATAGGAGTGGTCATATTTTAGACCTTGTCATCTCTAGGAAAGACGCGGAGGCTTTGAAAGTCAATGAACTTGTTGTAATGCAGCAGTTAATTTCTGACCACAAAGCTCTTTGCTTTCAGCTGAACTTTCAGAAACCGCTCAATGAACCAAAGTCTGTTCTGAGCCGCCAGCTCAGGAACTTTGATATTGAGTCCTTTAATAAGATGATCATCTCGTCACGGCTGCTTGCAGATGACAGTGATCTGCCCCTGGAGTTGCTGGTTGACAGGTATGATAACGTCTTGCGTGATACCATAGACATATTGGCTCCGGTGAAATCTCGGACCATCGTCCTTCGTCCAAACCCTCCCTGGTATAACGAGGACATTGGCCTGATGAGAAGAGGAGAAGGCGCAGGCTATAGCGCAGATGGCGCCACTCTAGCCGTCTTGAATCGGACAGATTGCGCTGCACAGAGCAGAGACTATCAAGCTAATAGGACGTCTATGGGGACGTACACAGACTTGCACTGCTGTTCGAAAATGCCCTCGGCTGTTCTTTTGTGCGGCGCCGCGACATATCTCCGGCCAAAGGCCGAAGCTACAAACCTCGAAGCTTTTCGCACCGATCACAACCGGAAACCGCCCACAACTGGGACGCAGCCTTGCTTTTACTGTACCTTCACCCTGTTGATTCACCTTGCGAAAAAAAATTAAAGACCGTTCTCTTTCCTTTATTAATTATTTGACTTATTAATCCCTTGCAACTCCTTTACATTATTTCTTGGTAAATTCTCTTGTATTTCCAAAAGAAACGCGCTAAACAGACCAATTAATTCGACCTATTTGTGCGCCTTTACTACTCCAAATGTTAAGTTCTCCTCTTTGGTGTTTCATGACAGAATCTAACTACTTCTTACCGATTATTCTACACATATGGCATTGAAAACGGCGCTACGAGGAAACGGACACATCGTCCCAGATTATCTTCGATTTTTACACCCTGATGACTATTACAGACTATTGAATCAACCTTTCTTCCCTCTCAACTGAGAACTATAACCTTCCGAATTCTTCGGATACACAAGATTTCTACCACGTAAACAATGCCACGGCTAAACGTGAACCACGACGAAGTGCAAACTTCGTCCCATGTGGGGCAATCCGGATCCCGAAATTCGGGAAATTTTTGTTGGTGGAATCCGGAATCATACATTTTCGTCATCTAAACAAAATCATTGGTAGCATTTGCCACCTCGGGTGGTAACGATCTGCCATTTTTCAGCACTTGGCCCACGCACAATTTAGGTCCCAAGAGTGACATGGAGTGACGCTCCATGTATGGGATTCTGGAATCCGAAAAATTTATGCTTGTGGAATCCGAAATCTGGGAAAGTTTTGTTTGTGGAAAATGGAATCTTGGGCTTTGGAATCCGGAATATAACACAAGAAATCCGGCATCCCCACTAACGATTGGAATGCAGAATCCAAGTTCCACTCACAAAGACTGGAATCCATACCTGGAATCAGGAATCCACGGCAAGGAATCCAGAATCCAAGACTATTTCGGATTCCGTTACCTGGGAAGACAACCTGATGCACAGTTTTGGAAATGAGAATTAGGATTTCCTTTACGAATCCATGAGTTACAGCATGAGTTTCTGGTTACAGTCACGTTACAAAGCGTAATACAGTATATAAGTACGATTAAGATACAACGCCGACCAGCAGTGAAATCAGAGACTATTTCTCCTCTCCCGTAAATAAAACCGACGGTTACCGGTAAACCGATCTCTGCAGGCCGTTGATTACGTGTTACTAGAGACCTTAAGATATGGCGTTTCCGCGTACGGGTAAAATACCTGTAGGCGTAGCCGTAAATACGGGTAGATTGCCTCTTATCCCGGAGAAACGGGTAAGCTACCGGGTAGAACGGTAAAGCCATTATCTCATCTGCGAGATAACGGCAGACATGTTCGCCTACCCGTACCCGTACACGTACGGTGTAACTTAAGGTCACTTCTGTTCCATAGCCTTTACGATTTAATAGGGATTGTCCAATTATATCTTATATTTCATTGATAACCAACAACCTCGTTCCCAGGGTCCTCTCGACAGAGAGGCGAAGAGAGAGGGAGGAAAATGAGAGAACCCGAGGGACAAGATTGGATAAGCAATTGTCTGTTTGTACTGCCCGCAATTAGAATGAGACTGAAAATTGACCGCAAATTGCGAGCCATCATATTCTGGAATGGAGCTTAGTTAAATAACCGTCAGTAACCATAGCGTAAAACAACTTTCAGAGATCCATGAGTCACCGATGTAACCAGGATGAAGACGGGGCAAAGTGGGGATCGGAGTATTCGTGAAAGTGCTGTTCGACGGTTGATTCATCATTAAACTGAATTCCAGGATGTTCTATAAGCGCTCTTACGCCCTTTACTGGTTACTCATCAAACTTGTAACTCTGCCACATCTCATCAAAAAGAGGCTTGCAGTTAATTGATGCTCCGAGCTTGGCACACAACAGAAAAGACCCGGACATTTTTCGGTGGAGTGAATACGTTTCCTCAGGGGGAGGGGATAGTCGATGACGTAACATGATTGGCAAGAGCTCTTGTATGCGCCGCGTGGTGTCTTGGGTGTTGAAATCGAAGGGCCGGTCATTGGCGAAAGGCTCTCCAAGAATCATTACAGCGTCTGCGTGTGCGTTGATCATCACCTACCACATAGGGGAGAATGGATGTTTGGAAAACCAGGAAATCAATTTCACAACGTTGAATTCATGCATCTAATATTGGTCATCAAATATTGTATTTCGACTAGCTGTATGCCATGTTTGGCGCTCAGAGTAACATGTTTGCGATATACAAGGGTTTGAATGTTACCATCCGATTTATGGCTCTTGATGTTACGGGAAAAATTCATAAGGAAATAAAGTACAAGCTCTACATTCTTGAATGTTGTGTCTGTTCTACAAACCCTCTACTAATCAGTGTACACTTTCTCACCTTGGATTCATATCCAGTGAGAAATCCCAGTCCTATGGAATTGTCAATCACCATGGCTCGGTCCCCTGTGGCAGCACCTCGGATAATCTATATTACAAACAGAGCACTGTATGAATGAGGCTGCCTCATACCCAGAGCCCACGAAAGTGCGGCAAACAGAGATCACGGAGCATCACGGGAAGATTAAAACGCGAAGCGCCGCCAGGTACGGAAAATCCTTCCCAGGGCATTACATTCGCTGAGGCGCTGAGTAAATGCAATTGAAAATGCTTGGGAACGAGGCTTTCTAAGCCCTCCTTTGTACTAAAGATTCAAGGTTCCAAACAGCGGCCCAGTTGTTCGATCGTCTGGTCCCAGGGTTTTTTAGATTTTTTTAGATTCGTTGTCGCCTCTTTTTTTCTTTAGTTCAAAAGACCAGGGTAATTAGCGCTAACCGAGGTTAAGTTTTAATTCGGGTTTCTTTTTCTTTAGTTCAAAAGCATTTTCATGGATAACTTTCTCCATTCTTTTTAGAGCCTCCAATAACTAAAATTGTAGTAAAAAAGAATTTACTGAAATGCTTTTTAAGCTTTCATATCTGAATTCAAATCTCGCACTATCAAGGGGTTATCTTAACCCAGCTTTGAACAACCCGGCCCAGGATTTTAATCTTGAAAATCGGGACCATGAAAAGGATAAGGACAAGATTTAAGTCCAACTGACCTTAATATACCGATCTACAAATTTCTTGTCGTACGCACGGGACGCTCCAAAGTCAAGCAAACAGATCTAAAAATTAAGACACAACATAACCATGGGAGGAAACCCGCGTTTACAATCAAGGGTTAGGGTATGGGTAGCCTGCCCAGCAAGCGTTTCCGCGGGAGTTCGTCATAAAAAGTTGGGACAAGAGAAAAAAAGAGGAATGAAAGGGGAGGGGGAGAAGAGAAAGAGATCTTCTTTCCTCCCGCCTCCCACTTCTTTCATTTTTTTTTTTTTGCTCTCCTTTCAACTTTCGCGCAATAGTGAGCTTAAGTAAAGGCGTTTTTGAGGAACGCACAACCGGAAGTGAGGCAATTTCGCTCTTAATATGCCTCGACGCTACCAAATTTATATTGCCAAGCTTTTTACTCTTACAGAGGCGATTTGCCCGAAATTTTAGAAAAAAAAACACTGCTCATGAATACAAAACAGTACACTTCCGTTTGACATGCATCACTCAAAAACGTTTAAACTCCTTGATAACTTGATCAGAAACGCTTGCTACAGTTGTACGCAGGCTAAATTACGGGAACAACTCTACGAGATTGCAACGGATTGCTGTTTGCATTCGGTTAAACCTGAAGTGAACTGTCGTCCTGCTAATCTTCAAGTTTATGCAGTCTGCGAAGCAGGTGCTGTTTTTTTAGGGCGAAGAAAGAAATATCTAGGAAGCGCGTTCCCATTGGGAGGACTGTTAAAAACATGATAGACCTTTTTCATAACGGCGGCTGATTAATATATTCTTTTATATGTATGATAATTAGCCTTTCTGACCTCGTTAGTACTTTGCACATGCTAACGAGGTCAGAAAGGAAAATTATCGGACATATATAAGAATATATTAAAAGGCCGCCATAGGTTTATCTTTCAAATCAGACAATATCCTAACAATATTTCTGGGACAAACCTTTTCCGTGACAGGATTGTAGAAGAAGTTTGACCAGTTGGGATCTGTTTGCATGAATCTGAACTCAAACAACTCCTTCAAACAGAGTTTAAGGATGTTTAAGCACAGCTGGAAAGCAACAGAAGCAGAAGTCAAGCACATTTCCACTCACTTAAATAATACATATTGTACAGCTTACTTACAGTTATAAAGGTAGATAAAACGGTTTCATTTGTAACTTCACTTATATATCAGTTATCTAATCTACTACCCTTTGTGCAAAATAAAACCTGAAATGCAATCAATTCTGTACTTTTGTTACCTTACAGCGCTGTACATAAGGTAATCCAGTACAGTCTTGAATTCTGGTTGCCAACGTGTAGCCGCACCCTCCCCCCGACCAAGGAAAAACGAAGAGAGGGAGTATTGCTCCTTCTCTCCGTTTTTCCTTCGACGCGGGGAGGGTGCGGCTACACGTAGTCTAGATTTCTGGACTCTGTGCTGTGGATTCCAGATTTTAGATACTGGAGTCCAGACTCCTCGTTTTGTATTCCAGATTCCAATGGTTAGCAGGATAATGGCTTCCTAGTCTGGAGGTGAAGTCCCTGACGGTTCGCAATGCCCTTTTTTTTCTCTTAAGATCGAGCGCCTAACAGTACAGGCAGTCATCTTCATTTCATAACAGGTGACTGTGAACAGCCTACTGAAGTCTGGATTCCAACAGTCAGGATTCTGGATCCCACAGGGAAAAATTTCCCAGATTCCGACATTCCAGAGTTCTCAATGGAATCTGGCACCTGGTGATTGATCACTGCCTAAATTTGTAGCCGTTTACTTTGCATTCTATTTGCTGCTTTTCCCTCCCTAGTTTACAACCTCTCCGTTTGTCACTGCCGCCTACTTTAATAAGGCTGGGCAGATGCCTTCTTCAAATCCTATTGAGACCCCTGTGATTACCTTACACAGGGCAAGTTTTGCGTCAAATTTCTTAGAAGATTCTAAGTAACAATACCTTGTTAATGGTCTCCTGGTTTGGATTTTCAATCTTATCAAGTGATGTTCCCTCTATCAGCTCTGTAGTTAGCACTTGCTTTGACGTCAGGTCTTCAATAACTTCAGGTACATAATACTCCGGCATGTCTTTTAGCAGTTCTCTAGGTAAGAGCAAATAAAGAAAACTCTGCAATGTCTCACAGGGAAAACACTGAGAAACCTTATTTTCTCTAGCAACATGAGTGTTGTCACCATTCCTTAGTTGACTGAAGGATGGAATCCTGTAGAGTGGTTCCAATTTTTGACTCAGAAGACAAAATCCTGTAGTGTGACCATTCAAAAAAAACCTCCTGTACTTTCACATGGTACTATTTGTTTTTCAGATTTTTCTAACAAAAACGAAATATTTAAATTTTTGTCTAATTTTGATTTACGCCATTTCTGGGAGGGTTAAAGTATTACGACTGCTCCATTACCTAAAGTGCTGTCCATTCTTAGCCTCCCGAAGATAGTCTACCTCCCAAGCCATCTCCCGTCTAGCAACATCCATGGCATTCTCTGCATATAAACCTAGTGAAATTAAAGAAAAAGGTATAAAAGGTGCACACGAGCAAAGGAGTAGTTGTCTTGCCCCACCACGACTAGCTTTCCAGCCATTTGCAGAGCAAGCTATCCAACTGCATACAAAAAATACAGTTGTTGTTGTTGTTGTTGTTGGGAGCCCTCGTGGCTGAAGCTTAACCTGGTTAAAAACAAACAGGGACATCACATGAAGTATAGGACTGGATGGCAGTTACCTTCAGGTAAGAGATTACTGACTTTCAACACTGTCATCAAGTTGTTGATGTCACTGTCGATACTGTCCCCAACCCCTGGGTACTGAGGTAAAAAAGACAAAAAACAAACATGAGCAAAATTTAGTAAGCAATAATGACCAGGAAGAACACTCCAGTATTAAAGTAATAGGATCACTCCAACTTTTCCCGTCATTAACAGAGACTTTCTGTCCTAGCAAAGACCTAAAGCTACCAAATGAGAAGAGTGATTGTCAATATCTTTAACTCAACATTGCTCTCATGCAGTACTATAATTTCTTGTTCATCCTACAGCCAAGACGTGTTCATTAACCAGTGAAACACTTGTGATAGTATCTGACCCTCAGGGTTGCCAAAAGGTTTTGAAGTAGATGGCTGAGTTGTCAAAGTTGGAGGCCAATCCACGGATATTTTATTCAAAAATGCCCTCCATAAAGAAATGCCAAGCAGAGCAGCTGGCCGATACTAACTGAGTAGGTGGCGATTTTCGCTGGCAGCCGGCTACTTTTGACAACCCTGGACCCTTAAATGAAAATCTGACAAAATTAGGTCTCTACTTGTAATCAAGATGCCTTGCGATTTAGTTACAATATTGAATTGTTAAAAATGAAAAAATAAAAAGTGCGGCATTTCCAGTGCTTTTCATTTGAGCCCTTCATACCTGAATCTTTATAGCAACAGAGCGCCCATCTTTGAGTACCCCCCTGTGCACTTGGCCAATGGATGCTGCAGCAAATGGCTTCATGTCAAACTCTAAAAGTTTGTCTCGCCAATTAGCTCCCAGTTCTGTCACTAGAACTTTCTGAAATGAGAAATACATTTCAAACTCATAAATCAATGTTGCTAAGCAAAGGAGCTTTTAAAAGGCAAAGAACCAGTAACAAAGTAAACTGCAGACCTCCAATTGCCAGCGAGGCATGAAGTCTGCACTGTCACGCACTCTTTCAAATATTGTTTGTAACTCTGGTGAAATGAAAGCATTATCTGCAAAAAAACAACCACCAATGTCAATAGAAAAGAAAGCCCTGAGCAAGTAAAGGAAGGACCAAGGGCCCATTTCTTGAAAGTCCCAGTAACTTTATGGGCCCAAAACCAAACATTCAAATCAAATTAAAATCTAAAGAATATTTTGTTTTGTCAACCAACAGGTTTATCATATTACAGTCTGTAAAACTTTGGAAAACATCATTGAAACTTCGATCTTAAAAGTGTAAACAAAGTAGCTTTCAGGTTCAGTAATTACCAGCACTTTTGAGATATGGGCACTTGCTATTAAAAGTTTTCACTGCACTATATTTTACATCATAACAGCAAAATGTACAGGGAAAGTTATTTACTAAAATGAAAACATTTAATAGAGGAGTCTCTTCAACCCTTTCAGTCTCTTGTCAGGAGGTTTTTACTATCGAGTCTGTGGACAAACAAATTCCTGCACGGCAAAGAACATTCAAATGGAACCTCTTTAGCAGTACATACTTTTATAGGGTATCATTTATTTTCAGCATTTCACAAAATGAAATTTGGAATGTTTATTTAAAACTTTGACTTGTTCACTTTTGGGAGTGTTGGCTCAAGTGACCTGAAGATTAACTATGGGAGCTATGAATCCAGCATCACATCACCTTAGCATGCGTGGCAGATGCAAATGGGGAGGGGGAGAGGGGAGGAAGAAAAGCGTGAAAGGAAAAAGAGAAGGGAGCACCTGCTACAAGAGCCAGTGTTTTTGTATTCCACCTACTACCAATTCCCAACTAATCCGATAACGCCAACTGTCAATATGTGACCAATTACAGGTAGTGGGCTTCTTAGCATAGTCCAAATGTAATTATTACTTTGTTTACCGGAAATTTTCAAGTCGAGATGCTTTTTTCAAATGATATCAATGACAAACAAGCAAAATAAAACATTTTTACTGTTCTTGCTCCCACAGCAAACACAAGAAACAATGATCAGTGTCATGTGAATACACTTGTAAGACCTTTGTTCTTACCTCATCAAACACAATAGTCAAAAAGAACAGAACAGTCACCTACCTGAGACGCAAAATTTAATTAATAATGAAAGGAGAAATTTAGAGAATTGTCAAAAAGCTCAATGGATGGTTTTTATCAAAAGCTTCACATCTCTCTTTACAAACCATTTAGAAGTTCACTCAAGCGGTATATTATGCTTTTGCAGAAAAGGCTCGTGTCCAGCTTCTAAAATTCTTCGAGTAACAATATTATAACCAGTGCTCTTGTGAATATTGGTACTGCAGATGTCTGGCAAGAATCACAATCGCCGCTCAGTGTTTGGACAAATCCAGTATACAAAACCTCCTGAGCATCTCCGCCCGCTAAACAAGCTATTACGGTACTGTTGGTTCTAGTTCGGGTTTCAACGCGAAGTTGCAACTTGATTGGAGTAATTTTGATCTTCTAGAGCTTACGCCAGTAGAAAACATTAGTCATTTCCTTGATGCCTGGATCATGATCATGGTTGTCTCTCACTAATACACCCCAATAAATCACTCATTACAGCTCAGCCAATCAGGTATTTGCCAACGCTAGCATCCGCAGAAATGAACAAATTATAGGGGGTTCTTATAGCAGGCATCCCTTACCCTCTCTACCCAATCCCCCACCCTTGTTTTTGTTCCTCCCTATCCCCTACCCCTTTGGACGCCTGCTACGCATGTTACATCACCTTGAATGCTTAACATTTGTCCTAACTTTAGTGCTGCTCCTCTCATTTTACATAGCGTGGTTACTATTCTCTCAGCATTTGCTTCAGACAAAAATGGACTCCCAGTCAGGTCTGCTACACTAGCACCTACATAAGAAAAATCATCAATGAGAAGGGTACAATTGATAATATACAGCACCACTCTGACAAAAGTATAAAGCTACCACTCTTACTTGAAAGAGATAACATGACACAATAAATAAATATTCAAATTTGCAAAAATGTTCATGATAGAAGAAGACAAAATTACCTGTCTTACTAAGACCAAGTTGTCGCTTTGTGACCTCGGCAAGAGCACCAAGTCCCAGCCCAGCAACCAGGCCTGCGAGAAAAAAAGTAAGGGTGGATATAGAAAAGTTAGTAAAAGGGGGCTAGGACACTTGCCAACGATTCAGAGAAAAAAGCTGATTTTACTTCATTGATTAAAGAATTTTTGGAGCATCTGTGTCTAGTCATTAAGTCCCTATAAGACTGTCTAGGACACTTTGTAACAAATAATAGTCTCAGACAGAAGTGAGGACCATCAAATCCTACCCTCAACCATTCACAGGACTGAAATTGGGTAGCCATAGAGGAAGCAGTGATTTGTTTAAGGAGAACAACTTTGCAAGAAATCTTATAAATACAAACAGAAATTGTACAGTCCTGAGGCAACTTAATTTTGGTGAGAAAAAAATAACTCAGATTATGGCTCTGCATTGAAGGTTAAATGTTACTGTGTAGTATTATAAGAGCTACATTCATCGATTTTTGTAGTGATAATGATGATGATGATGATGATACCAATATACAAGTATGATGATGATCAATACTAGTACTTAATTCAGTTTTCACAATTTTAATTTGCTTCAGTTCTTGAGAGAAAGAAAACAAACAAAAATAAATGATCATACCACTGTAATTCAAAAGTCTACCAACTCTGGAGGAAGGAACTGGTGACTCCTTTGATCTCCCACTCAGCTAAACGAAAAGAAAAATACATGGGCAGCATAAATACTGAGCTTTCACCTGCTCAGGGGTTTCAATAAGCACCGACAACCGACGAAATGCGTCTGCTACATTGCTCAGAGAAGTCTGCTACTTTTTCCTCTGAAAAAACGTGGACTGTTGATACTGTCGGTTACTCTATTGAAATCTGCTGGCTACTTCAATTTTTATTGAAACCCCTGCCTACTAATTTTCATATTCAGATGAGAAATGCTGTTGATAACCATATTAAACAATTTTATTTGCTTCAATAGCAGGCAGCAATGAGTTGAAAATATTGATAAAACTACAATGTAAAACCTTATGGAGAAAGATGTTTTTTCAGTCATGAAGTGACACAGGTGAAAAGAAACTGTCCCTCCTACTAAAATAAAACAAACACTGTGCACATGCAAATGATAGTTAGTCCCTTCCAAAGTGAACAGGTGTCTTGAAAGAAAACCCCAAAGGACTTTTTATCGAGGACTCATCCTGATTGAATTGTGATGGAATAGGTTGCATTTTGAGAGTTTTGGTGGAGTGATTCAAGCTTCAATTGACAACAAAATTATTGGGACACCGTTGTCAAATGGTGTATTTCATGGAGAACAAAAAAGTCTGGACTCCACCTCCACCCTTTCATTAAAAGTTGAGTTGTTTGTTTTTTGCACTATTAGCTTGAACAGCACAGCAACATTAATTGAAGGGGGTGGGGAAGGAAAAGCTCTATGTTTCACTGGCCTGTTGAAGTGTCTGATGCCTGGTTCAGGACGCTGAACTTTTCATAAGCAAGCTCCGCATGTGAACCAATAATTAAGGGGGTGTTTACATGAGAAAACTCGTACCGGTGCGAGTTTCATACTGGGATGACTTTTTTACTTCGTATCATGTTAACATTATGACTGGGTCATTTCATATCGTGTTATTTGAAGGTACACTACATGTTTATAAAATACACGTATGATTCAAAATTGTAAATATGCGCATGCACTACCCATTCCAGTCTACCAGCAGACTGATTTCACACTGAAACTTGTAGTCGTTTCATGTTTACATGATACCGTTGCGAGATTTCGTACCAGAGTGAAACTCTTGCCCTGGTACAATAACCAGGGTGAACTCACACCGGGGTGACTTGCAGCATGACATTTTGTGGTGGTATCATGTAACAAATGTAGAGCCATGAGAAAGAACCGGAGTGAACTCACTCCGGAGCGAAAGTCGCCCCGGTGTCATGTAAACACCCCCTAAGAGTATCTATTAGAATTTGGATAAGCTCAGCTGTTCTGAAGAAATTTCGGCTGCAAGCAGCTTTGAAACAGCTCTGATTCTGATGCCGAACTTTTCATGTGCCGAGCCTAATGCATAAATTATGATAACGTATTTTGCAAGCAGTCTGACCGAAATAAGCATTTCTTGTGAAAAGAGCATTGTCAGTTTGTGGACAATGAGACGTTCTGATTACATAACCATAGTTATGTAAGTTGCATCTAGTCCAATAGAAAAAAAAATGTACCTTTTGAGTAGAAGGACGTCTTGTAGAAGAGACTTGTTTATTTGCTGTGTTATTCTTAAGGCCTACATTTCTTTTATTTGCAGCGGTTGCATCTCGTCCAGGATTGGTGGGTGATTGTGAAACAGCATCACTTGAGCTGGTCGTAAACAACAACCGAGCAGCGTTTGAACAAGTTATATTTGATTGCCACAATCTTGAACGAAATTTCACTCTTTCTGTGTAAGTCAATGGAGCACGAGCTTGAAGACGTCCGCAACACTTCCCTGTCGTTGGAACAAGCAATGTTGAAAGCATTCTAGAAGGCAAAACACAAGTGTTTTTTGTGCTGGCGACATGTGCAACAGGCCCTACTATGGACACACATGCAAACTTCTTCCAAAGTCGAAAATGCCTTTCTTTCATCATATTCTGGGCCAGAGGATACGAAATACCAATTGGTTTGATGTGAACAGCGAAAACAATCCCAGGACGTAGAAAATACAACTTCTTAAACGTGATAGATCGGAGGCGAATTCGGATACATGCACATGTTGATTTTGCTCCTGCGTTTGTTTACGGTCAGCAGTGGTGACGTTTTTGTCCATGTACGAGAGCATATAGCGTCCTTAGCTACTGGACAGAAATTTGAGAACATTTTTTTTATATTTCTTTCTTTTTCTTCCTTATTTTAAAACGTTTTCTTTTCATTTCTTCTCTTATATTATTTTGTGACATTAAGGGGCTAAGCTGTTTTTTCAAATAAGAGACAGGCCGTGAGCTCCACTGCGAAAATAATTCGATATTGCAAACTGGTCTTAACCGTTGCGTTTACTTGTGTAATTTAGAGCTTTCGATCTTATCAAAATTTTATAAATACGAGCAAAAATATTTCGTGATGTGATACTTGGGAAAACGCAATGGAGTGAAATGGAGTGAATAATTAGTCCGTGGTCAAATTTATTGCGGTCACTCAACTCTGCATTCTGATTGGTCAACGATAAATGATTTCATTCATCGCTTCCTTGCAGTCTGTTCGTCAAGTCGCTGTCGAAAGGATGAACTCTGTCATCGACTGTTTCTTATACCGGATGTGGTTTACTTCTGTATTTTTGGACCTTTTGTTAAGCAGTTGAGCAGCAACGTGCTACTTTAGAAGGGTTAAAACATGAGTGGTTTTGAGAGACAAGGGAATGAAAACTTCGTGTCAAAAGCAGAATATGAAAAAATGGTGGACAAGGTGAAACATTGCGAAGCAGAAAGACTTAAAGTCATGCAGGACCAAGGGAACATGATGAAGGAGTTTAACAAGAGAATGCAAGTTCATTTGGATGAAATCCGCTTGCTTAAAGATATAAATCATAAGCTTCAAGCAGATCTGCAAGAGCTTCGCGACCTGACTTGTTACTTGGACGACGACCGACAGAAGTGTCGAAAACTCGCGCGAGAATGGCAAAGATTCGGACGGTACACGGCCTCTGTAATGCGTAACGAAGTGGCAAGCTATCAGGAAAAGTTAAAGATTTTAGAAGAAAAGCAAAGTGATCTCTCAAAAGACAATGCAGAATTGAAGGAACTTTGTTTGTACCTCGATCGTCAGCGCGAATCTGTCGCGCTGGAAAATAGAACGTTTTGCAGTAAATGCTCTCAGCGGGTCATGAGCAACCAAAACCTATCTGCAATCAAACAAAACTCTACAGGTATCGAGCTTGTTGTTTATTTTGATCACCACCAAAAATGAGCACATTCATGGTAGTCTCTATCTTTTCTTTCGTCTTTTTAACACATTGGTTCACCAAAACATTAACCATATGTTCATGAGCTGATTTAATCCTCACATTCGTTATATTTCTAAGGGCGAATGTAACGATTTTGGAATGCGTCCGTTGTCGTTTATTTTGTCTGATGTGTCATCCGCGTAGAATCTTCGTATCCTTTAGTACTCACGTCTCTTTTTCTAATTATAGCAGATCATGGTCAAGACAACGAAAATTCTGTTTCTGAGAGGCTTGAAGCGAAGCTAACCGATATAAGCTTACAAGTGGGCGCAAACAACGAACACACAACTTTACAAACTAAGGTATTTTATTAAGAAGATTACAGTTAGGTTGTTTCTAAACAGCTTATGCTACCCGAGCAAAACGCACTTAATTATTTGCCATGAGTATCTCCCCTATCATTTTCATCCTCTTTTTTAGGATTGAAGCTTGAAATAATTCACGTGAATGTGGACTTCCTTTCTACAGTTTACAACCCGCAAACGGTGTGTGAATTAAAGGGACCACACAATTCTTAATGAACCGATACACGTATTCACCAGTGCAAAGGTGTAAAACCCTTGAAGCTATTAACGTGTAAACATTCATCTACAAATTTGATCTCATCTGACCGTTGAACGACGTACACGATCCAGCTTCTTGAAGTTCGTGTGCAGATTTCAGGATTTGTTTAATGTTGCAGAACAGCCATTAAAAGTCAATTATCTCAACAAAAGAGTTTTACAGCAATGGAATCCCATTGTTTCGTCTAAGAGAATAACATTGTTAAGTAGGGATCAGGATCAGGGAAGTGGATCGCTTGAACATAATTTGGTATATATATCAAAACAAGTTGCCTCAAATTGGGGGTTTATTTCAAATCAAAGATCGGAAGGCCAATATCAATGAGAACTGAGAACTGTCCAAATCATCACCGTTCATTTATAATTGCCTTGTTGAATGATGAAAGTAAGAACCCTGAAGCAATATACAATACTCTAATATCTGACCTATACATGAAGTCCTCCTAGGAAGAAGGGGGTTATTATGTCCCTAGTCTGAATTTCAAATACTGTTGTTTCCTGTTTTGAGGAGTATGCCATGTCCCTGTCAGTATTTGACTGGGCATCTTTATGTCGTTTGTCGCCATTATAATTTTGTCTACTTTTATGTTGCTGCTTCAAGGACATGTTGTTTGTTGGAATTTCACCCTTAGAGGACCTCGTGAAGGATAAATACAGCATGTAGTACGTATGTAGTATTGTATTGCAGACTCGATTTCTTTGTTTTTTCTTAAGGAAAGTTCTGTTTATAATTCCAAGGCTGATGTTGCTAAAAAGAGGGTTTCTTTTACCTTCCCTGAGGATATTGATACTGTAAGTATTTCTAAGTGTATGGATTATGTCTTGTTGAAAAGGCAGTTCCACATGCCAGGCCTTTTGAAGATTTATGGAATACTGCAATATACTTGTCACACTATTCAGGTACATGCACAAAGAAGACATGAAATATGGTTATACAAGAACATATAGAGAACAAAATAGTAGAGATTATAATAACTGAAATGTCCAATTTTTAAATCAGCGTGCAACAGCCGAAGTAGCAAGGGCCTTTTTCAATTTGGGTTCTTTCAGTTCCATGGGATTCCTAGAGACAAGGCCTATTCCAGTTCCCCCCTGCTCCCCTGCTCCCTTTTATCTATGTCCTCTGCCTGGACCGGAGGTGTTGAGGAAGGTCACCCAGGAGATTGATGTCTCGTCCCCTGGCAAGGGAATTTTACATTCACTCTGTTTAAGTAGGTGGGATTTTCTCACTACTCTACATTGGAATAGTACTGTTGTAGGCTGATAAGATGACAGTGACTCTGTAATAAGGCATGGGTCGCACTTGGCAAATTTCTGGAAGAATTTGTTTACCTTGCGGTAGAAATCTGTCATCGGCACACATTGCCAAGTGCGACCCCAAGTTTTCAAGTTGGAAAAAACTTTGAAAATCGCGAAAAACGTCAAAGACGCCGTATTGCTTGGGTGGGGCAGGCAGATTTTGGAAAACTTGAGCTAAACAATAGGAATCACGGCGGTAAGTGTCAGCACTTGTCAGCGAAACGTGACCAATTTGAAACACGATCAATTTGAATCAATCGTTGAAATTTTCTGACCTTCGCGTTTTCGTTGTGGACGGACGAGGCTACCACTACTTTTCGCCATTTTAACGTTTTTGCAAAAACTTTTTACGGGCGAGCAATTCATAAGCTTGTAATCCTTTGCTATTTCAACGTTTTTACGGGAACTCTCTACAGGCGAGCCAATAAATATTATAGTCTACCCAGGCACCGTCACAGGTTTGTTATTCTCCAAGCTAAATGCAGTCTTTGCAGCCAAGCACTTTATTTTCTTTATTTCTCCCATCCTCCTGAAACTGGGAAAGGAGGAAAATGATCCTACGCCAAATGATCGGACTACGAAGAGATAATGTTCTCTGGTATCTGGCCTTTTTTAGTTCTCAATGTGTCAAAACAACAACAATTAACTCCCACTAGTAAATACTAGTGCGACCCTCCTCGATTTGACTAAAAGTTTTCTTTTCCGGTTGCGGTTTCGAATTTTTGTGGTTTTTTAGCCGGCAAAGATGAAAACTTTTCCCAAGTGCGACCTATGCCTAAGATAGAGTGGACTGTTCATTAACTGTATATGATATTTTTAATTACGGGTTCTTCCAATTATTATTTATCCATGCAGGATAGTACAGACTCCGTGAGAAGTGATACCCCTCCAAGAATTAGAAACAATGGATTGAAAAGTAAGTTGTAAAAGTATGTGCTGTTAGTATAAGCACCTCTTTACCTGTAGTATTGGACGTTTTTGGTCAGAGAATGTTCCTTAATAAAGTGATTAGCAACAACATTGCACATGACAAATGTAGTTACTTACTTACTTACTCCCAGTCAAGGCCTATTGTTAACAAAAACACTGACACCATAAGGCTTGGTCTCACATACAAGTTTCTAGATCTCTTACATTCTGCAGACCAGTATCCTGCAGTGTCTTTATGTGTCTAGTTATCAGACTCCCATGTGTAGGCACCCATGTAAATATCAGCTGTTGCGCTGAAGAGCTCTGATCATCAGTCGAAACTTGTCCAGAAAAAGCAATTTTTCTATTTTTAATGGTACGTGTAGTGGTCAGCTTTTCTATATCAAGCCCGCTATTTTGTAACCTTGTCACTTCAGGATATATATATTGTTTATATTGACTTATTATATGGAATAATGTTATTATTATATATATATGAGAATGGTAGATGAATAAGTGAGTGAATTATGATCCTTGCAGTTTACTGATTCAAAACAACCTAAGTGGTTGAAAAGAATCTGAAAAAAAAAACAGACATAATTGGTCATCAAACCATGATAATTTTTAAAGATGGGGCACACAATGATGCTCTTTCCAGTATGACCTCAAGCCAGGGTGCAAAGAAAATCATTTTTGAAGCTAGCATTTACTAGCCCAGACGTCATTTCAACTAGCCCCAAAAGCTTTTTGACTAGCAGAATTGATTTCACAGTTCTTCTGTTATTCGAATTCCTTGAGAGACATCAGTTGCCCGTCGGGCAAGTTAAAAACAGAATTCACTAGACCGATAGCAAATCCATTAGCCCCAGGCTATCGAACA